CCTAAAGAAGCCGCCCAGGCCATGCCCTCCCTGCAAAGACGACCACTGGAGATCAGTCTGCCCTCTGAAGCGGAGGTCCCAGAGCTCAGACCCATGCTACCAGTTAGTCCAACAGGAATGAGGGGGCATGGGGAATACTCTGCCTTCTCCCTCTGGCCAGACCACCATCTCCACAGAGGAGCCCCGGGTAATCATGACTATAGAGGAAAAAGAAAACAGCCTGTTGCTAGACACAGGCGCAAGTCTCTCGGTCCTTCTTTTCAATCATGGCCTTCCTTCCAGCCGTCACACCTCAGTGAAAGGAGTCACTGGAGACGAGGTAATACGCTATTTTTGACAACCCTTAGGCTGTAACTACTTGTTAGATCCTTCTTGCGTATCTCTGTCTTTCTGAGAAACTACTTTGAAGATACCACCATGTATTAGAGCAGCCATTGATATTTTTCTACTAATCTGTCCATAACTCTGTAATGTTTGTATTGTTCCTATCCTATTTCGTAAATGGATGCATGTTTATTACTATGTGTTTCCTACAACAACCATTGAGAATAGTCAATGATTATTCAATTGGTCACTCATGTATAGCTCTATTTATTTTCTTTAGAAACCACTTCAAAGATACCAAAATATAGTATAACAACCATTGATAATTTCCTACCACTTTTGTCTGTAACTCACTATTATTTGTCTATTTGTTTTCCTGAGAAACTATCTTGAAGGTAACAATATGTAAAACAACAAGCACTGATAATTTCCTACCACTTTGTCTGTAATTCGGTAAGCACCCCCCATTACTATGTTATCCTTCTTTTACTCTTTTAAATTAAAAAAAAAAAAAAGAGTAATGCAAAGCAACACTTCTCACTTCAAAAAAACCATCATAAAGGAGACAATAAAAAATACAAAGTGTCCCAGGTATGGATGGTACATGGAACACAGGCTTTTGACCTGTGCTGCCCCTGGACGTCTCATTAGACACTACAGTATTTCTTTCTCTTTTCATTTTTTTAAAGCATAAATCCATAAAGTAAAATATATAACAAGAAAGGAGACAACAACAAAACTTGAGAAGCTGGAAAATAGATGAATAGTAACTGACTTTGCAGATCAAAACGGCTGAATTTTTTTTTTTTTTTTTTTTTTTTCTGGTACCGGGAATCAAACTTACGACCTTGCACTTGCCAGGCAGGCACTGTGCCACTGAGCTAAATCCCCAGCCCCCAAAAGGCTGAATTTTAAATAAATAGGAAAAGCTAAGAAGCAATTCAGTCTTTTCCATTGAACCTCACCCCCAAAATGTCCAGGAATCTTACTTACATCAAATATTACTGAAAATAGGGTTAAAGAAGGGCTAAAAAAACAGGACAGGGTGAAAATTTATTTATGGAACTATTTGATCCCTAAAGTCTCTACATCTCTCCAAAACCTCCCCAACAGCAGATCTATGATGTATTTTCTATGATGTATTTTGTGAAATGTGTAAAGCAGTTGACAAAACCACAGTAATACACTACAAACTAGGGGAATACACAGTTTACATAGCGAGTGCTGAGACCAACCCTCCCGTATGTTTTCCTCTACTCAGATCCTACCACAGTTACAGGCCTACACGCCCCAGCCTGGCGAGTACTTCTCTGGGATATATCTGAGCAGCTCAAGAGGGAAGACCTAAATACCCTGGTATTAGAGATAATCCTAAAGAAACAAAATTTCCTGACGCAGTAGTTCCCTTTATCCCTAAGTGATTAGTTCCAAGCCCCCAGTGAATTCCTCAAATCATGAATAGTTTATATTAACAAGGTGACTTAGAGTGGGCCCCTAGATATGTTGTGTGAATGACATAACTCAGGATGAGGCTGGCTATCACAACCCTGTGATGAAAGGGTTGGGGATGATTTTCAGCTGACCCCCAGGGAGAGGAGCGTGACTGGAGACTGAGTTCACCTATGTGGTCAATGACTCAACCATGCCTTCATAATGAAACCCCAATAAATACTGTGCATACTGAAGTTTGAGTAAGCTTTTCTAGTCAGCAGTACTCTGCATATTATCACACACCAAAGTCCCAGGAAGGTTATGTGTCCCACCTCTGCAAGGACAGGACAATAGAAACTGCATTTGGAATCTTCCCAGACCTTGCCCTACATGTGTCTCCCTTTGGCTGATTCTTTGTGTTATAATAACACTATAATAGTAAGTACAGAACTTTCAATGAGTTCTGTAAGTTCTAACAAATTATCGAACCTGAGGAAATGGGGACTCCCAAATTTGTAGCCAGCTGGTCAGAGTAAGGGCAACCTGGGGAGGTACAACCTATTGGCTGGTGTCTAAAGAGACAGCAGTCAGGTGGAAGACTGTGCCCTTAAGCTGTGCAGTCTAGCCTAACTCCAGCTAGGCAGCAGTCATTTCAAAGCAAATGAAGCACATAAGAAAAACTTACATCCAAACTGAGTGAACTAGAAGACTTGAACGATTTGTCTCCTCAGCCATTGTCAACAAGTCTGAGAAGTTGCAGGAACACGCAGGTGGAGACTCAAGGCCCAGCTTTTCTCCAATTTTATAAAAAGGGATGAGCATTATGAGACAGAGCTCCATGCTCCCCTGTGCCACTGGTCAGAGCCATTTTTAATACTAAGGATCTGCTTAATGAAGTTACAGCCAGATCATCCTGTAGTGGGTATCATGTACCAACTCAGCACTTCTCATTAACTTTTACAGTGCCCCACTCTTTAAATATGAGCAAAAGGCTAAGGATCACCACACATATTTGGAAGAAACATAAAAACACTCCACGTACACTACCACTAAAAGCACGAAGATATAAAAGAGACAGAAACTGAGATTGAAGGAATTCTTAGAAGACTTCACAGGGAGACGGAAAATAAACCTAAATAAATCTCTCAAAAAATAAAGTAAGGGGCTGGGGATTTATCTCAGCAGCATAGCGCCTGCCTGACAAGCACAAGGTCAGGAGTTCGATTCCCCGTACCAGAAAAAAAAACCAAAAAAAAATTAAATAAATAAATAAAGTAAAAAAGGCAGAGAGATGGAAAATAACAGTATAAAAGGGAAAATTACAGTACAAATTCAGGGAGCCCAAACACCAGTAACAGAATTCCACAAAGAGAAAATAAAAGGAAGAAGTCAAATAAATAAATAATTTTAGAAAATATCTCCAAATTAACCAAGCATTGTGGCACACACCTGTAATACCATCATGCTAGGAGGCAAAGGCAAGTTTGAACTCAGTCTGGGCAACATAGTGAGATCATGTTTCAAAACTAAAAATATAAAGTACAGAGCTAAAAATATGGCTCAGTGTAAAGATCCTGGGTTCAATCCCTACTACCAAAAGAATTTTTCTGAGTATCAAAATTAAATGACATAACCTTCAGGATTTTAAAGTACAAACTGAAGTGCCATCACAAGTGTCAAAATGACCCACACCCAGGCACATCATTGAGAAATTTCAGAACAATCTGGCACAAAGATCTAACAAGCTTCCAAAAAATAAGTTAAACACACAGAGTAAAGAATTAGAGTATGATTATATTCTAAAAAAATAAAAGCTAGAGGAGGAAAAACAAAGCAAAACAGAATAAAGCCTTTAAAATCTCAAGGACTATTATTTGTAATCTAAGATTCTATACTAACCAAACTTTCAAGTAAGCAGCTGGGCATGGTGGCACACGCCTGTAATCCCAGCACTCGGGAGGCTGAGGCAGGAGGACTGTGCAAGTTCGAGACCAGCCTGGGCTACAAAGTGAGCTCAAGGCCAGCCTGAACTGCATAGTGAGACCCTGTCTCAAAAAGACAAAAAAAAAACTTTCAAGTAAGCATGAGGAACGCAGGGGAAAAGTCCTTTTCAGATATGCAAGAAATTCAAAACTTTACCTCTGGGAACCTAGAGAAGATCTGTTCCCCTAGAACCAGAGGATAAATAATGAAGAAGCAGTCACAAAATTCTCGGAAATCAGAGATCCAACACAAAAGAAGAGTAAGGGAGCCAGGGACCGTGGTGCACGCCTGTTATCCCAGCATCTGAGAGGCTGAGGCAGGAGATCCTCACAAGTTCAAGAATAACCTGGACTATATAATGAGTACACAGCCAGCCTGAACTACACAGCGAGAACCTGTCTCAAAGCAAACAAATAAACAAACTATTTAAAAAGAGAGACAAAGAAGGGAGCAAGGGAATCCCCAAGAGGATGAAGATTGAGATCCTTGAACAATTCACTGCTGCGAGCCTAGACAGCAAAGGGTTTAGGCCACAGCGTATCAGAAAGCTCCAGGAAAGAGTTCTATAAAATAAAGTAATAAAATATCTTATATGTCTGAATATATGAGGAAGATATTTAAGTAACTATGAGGAGATGGTGTTATTCCCACCATCTAATATAAACCAATATAAAATGGTTTATATTGAGACAGTCAGGAAAATTTAACTATAAACTACATACAAAAATAGCATCATGAGCCAGGTGTGATGGGGCATGCACCCCTGTAATCCCAGCACTTGAAAGGCTAAGGCAGGAGAGTCACTACGAATTTGAGGCCAACCCTAGTTACATAGTGAGTTTAAGGCCAGCCTGAACTGCATAGTGAGACCCTGTCTCAAAAAAAAAGCATCATGTTACACAGAAAAAGAGCATTTAAAATACATACATACACACACATATATATATACACTTTTTGTACATATATTTTTAAAGAGATAAATTCACTACTGAAAAGTCACAATTTCTACAGTGTACTTTATTCTTCAACAATTTAGATAAAATAAATGTTGCAGAATGTTAATAATTATTAAATCTGAGTAATGAATAGATGAGTATCATATTTCTATTTTTGAGCAAAATTAAAAGCATTTATCGTAAAAAGTTAAGAAAAAATGTCTCTGTAAAGATCCATACATGAAGTAGAGTTCAATCTCTGTGACTATTTTTAAATGAACATAAGTGAAAGAGAAGAAGACCAGGAATATTCTATGGTTATCTTACCATATCCTGCCATAGAAGCACCATTCTCAACAGCCACTGTGTTCTTGTTTTCCTCTGCAAGAGCTTTAACGTATCTTTTGCTTAAATCTAGTATTTGCTCACGTAACTTGACACTGCTTTGATGTCTTGGCTGCTGAAAAGTATAGTGCAGTAACATCACTCCCCAAATGAGTCCAAACACAAGCAACAACAAACTCAATTTCTGGGACATATTTTTTCTTGAGATTGTAAAAAACATTTCTGATGAAGTAAACAGACTTGATTGTGAAGTGGTAACTGGAGACAAGCCCCCAAACAAAACTTCTGAAGGAAAAAAGAAAAAACTTCTCTAATATATATTCTTCATCTTCAGCAAGGTTGTTCCACTCTTATATTAACTCTGTAAAATTGAGAAGAAAAAAGATAGTTAGTCCTAACCTGTATTGGTAACAGAATAATGATAAAAAAGAGATTCTATAGTTTTGATTTGGAATGGTATTATCATCGTTGACAACTTTCTCTACTGCTAGTAGAGGCTTTTGTTTTTTATCAGTTTTATTCATGTAAGTTTTCAAAATTTTAGATATAGAAATGTCAATTCATTGCAAATATCTGAAAAAAATGTCACCATGGTGATTTCTTCTCATTTTAACTAAAATCACAGACACAGAATAGATGTACAGGAACTCTCAATCTGTTCAAACATATCTCTAACCTAAACACCTAAAGCTATTCCTGTAAAACAAAAAGTGAATGCCAAAATAAAAGTCAGAAATAAGGAAGGATAAAACAGATTAGAAAATCAAAATGCCTAACAAGAATTTCCACAAGACAAGTAAAGTACCAGCATGTGACAATGTCACTATAAGACATTACCAACAGAAATGAGGTAATCCCAGAAAACATCCAACCTATGATGAAAAATAAGTTACTGTTTTTAAGTTAATCTTATAAAATGATACTAGGTATAATAGTGATTATTTAATGATGTCTTAGAACAGGTTAAGATACTTTTTCTATATTTCTACATGTACAACTTCACATTTTAAGTGGAAAAAGTATGCATTTTGGATAATGTAAGGAAAAGATTTAAAGATTATACTTCAACAATGTGTGTGCACACACATCTGTGTGGTGTGTGGTGCTGGACACTAAAACCAGGACCTCCTTAACACTACGCAAGCTCTCTACCACTGAGCTATACTCCTAGCCCTTGAAAGTAATGTTTAGTTGTATACAAAATATCAAAATACAGAAGACATACAAAAATTCTCTATTAGATGTGTGAATTAAAGCACGTGGAAGTGGGGAAATTTGCAGCCCTGCCAATTCACCTATCTTGCTCAGAAAACTCCTGTTCTGCTACCTGGTCACCCTGTAGTACTTAATACACCTCTAATGAAATTCTGCAGCTCCAGGATCGAACATGAATCCATTCTGGTTGAAGGGTACTATCCTGCCAAACTCACCAAAAGCATAACTATACCACTAATGAGTATGTTACTGTCATAAACAATATGTGTACTGCAAATCAGAAATTAACTCCTTTTCAAATCTCCTTCTACTTATTTCTTAACGTTCACAGAACAAAAAAAAAAAAAATTTCACAGAACAAGCTCCTTTGGATCTTACTTTAAAATACCATTACTATCAATACTGAATTATTAAGCCTTGCTTTATTATTTGTTTGGACTTTTGTTTTCCTTTGTTTTTTTTGAGACAGGGTCTCCCTATGTAGTTCAGACTGGCCTGGAACTCACAGCAATCCTCCTGCCTCAGCCTCCCAAGCGCTAAGATTACAGGCGTGAGCCACCACGGCAAACTTTGCTTCATTACCAAAAGGAGGTAACATCTTTTCTATAGAGATTTTACATCTGAGCTCAGAAAAGAGATTACAGATTTCCAAGCAAAAATTTTTAAATGTGTTGCATATTTACATTGAATTTATTCTTCATAAATCTTTATTGGATCTTCTTTGTCTTCAAGTGTTACTCCTATCCTAGCGCCTAGGGAAAGGATCAACTGGGAACCTGTCCTGAAGCAGTCTCAACAGGATTGGCTCTAAAGTTGGCATGACTACAAAGCCAGATAAGTGACATCACTAAGAATGGAGAACATAGCCTCCAGGTATTTTTGGTCCCCTTATATAAATTATTTTATCCTCGCAGCACCTACATTAATACATTCTCAAATAACAGGTAAGAAAACTGAGGTGAAGAGACGTTAACTAACTTGCCCAATGTCATACAACTGCATAGTGGTAAAGATAGGATTCAACCTCTGGCTCTTAATCACTGCCCCTGTATAGCAAAAACAGTAAGGCAGCAGCCGCAGAGACTGCAATGGCGAACTGAGCTCTTGTTCTGTACCTAAGTTTAGGTGACTACTTCACAAGGGTTATTTCGTTTAATACTTGCAGTAACCCCACAAGGAATATACTATTATTTTCACATTAAAAATGATCAAATTAAGATTTAGAGAAATTAACCTGCCTATGCTTTTTATCAATGCCTACTGATTTTAGTTGCCTAAGGTCTGGGAAGAGCTAAAAATCCAAAAGTTCAGAATCTATCTCTGTTCAGGGGTTTGTCATTACTTTTAGAAATTACTTAACATAATGGCTGTCCACTGACAATGAAAGGGTTAAATCACGGCCCCCCAACAGTAGAACTCCATGAAAGCCATTTAAAGCCATTCCAGAATTGGAACTAACTAGACCTCCCTAGTAGAGGTCATAATACAGCAATACTGATCAAAACTTCACAAGATAAAAATGTAATTTCTCCCTTGAGTCCTGGCCAGTCCTCTCTAAAAGGTAAGTATGTACAGACCTGCTTATCACCTCCTTATCTAAAGCTTAAATGCCTCCTGTAAACCAGGGGAAATGATCTTGTCGAAATGCAACTATAAACATAATTTTAAACATAATGGGTGCTCCAGGAAGGTCTACAAGGTTCTAGGTGATCCTGAAAAAAAATACATTCTTTAATCACATTTGCTGCATAGACCCTTTTTCTACATCCTCAAACTCTTATGAAGACCCCAATCTCTAACCCGAGAGTGTGAGTACCCTCTTGGAAACTCAGCTGTCCTCCTTGACAGTGTACTCTGGCATGAATAAACTCATCTTTACTCTCATCCTTGCTTGGGTAAATTCTTTTTACTGCCCATGTCACCAACCCTCCCTCTCCAACCCTCGCTCTCAAAGAGCACTCAAACCCAGTTCTATTAGGTTTTTCTAAGCTTCAAAAATAGAAAATCCCAAGGGCCTTAGACAGAACAGGAGATTCACTAGGGAGTGGGAAAATAGTATTGAGATAATCAAACAATAGGAACCTCATCTATAAGAGGTCAAGTCCTTACAAATAGGCACAAGCTTAAGAATAGCAGGTTGCGGGGCTGGGGATTTAGCTCAGCGGCACAGCGCCTGCCTGGCAAGCGCAACATCGTGAGTTTGATTCCTGGTACTGGAGAAAAAAAACAAAACAAAACAAAACAAAAAAAAGAGTAGCAGGTTGCTAACCACCATGTATGTGTACTTTAAGAGTAAATAGTGGCAAAAAAAAAAAAAAAGAGTAAATAGTAGCAGCAACACAAGACAAAAAAGACACACTGGTAGTACACAGGGCAGGAGCACAGCTGGTTGAAGATGTAAGCCCAAAATAATAAAACCCAAGAAACAGGGAGGTCTCATAAATCTAATGACTCCCAATATGAGGGGCCAAAGATGTCAGCTGCAAACTTTTTAAATGAAGAGCTCTTTATTGGTCTATAGGATTATATACTAAGGTCTGACTGTACCATCAACCAAAAAGAAGCACCAACAAAATACACCTTCATGAATGGAAGATCTTTCCAGCCTGGTCTGCTCAGCACTGCCGCACTGCCCTCAACAAAATGAAAGTAGTGCAGACAACCAACTCAGAGAGAAGTCAGGAAATTCTACAGGACTATGATAAGCAATGTATGGCTTTCAACTTGCTGGTGTTTGTTATATAATTTGTTATAGTGCTAAAAAGTAAAATATTTAATACGAAAAGGGTTTGTCTCTGGGAATATCAAAGTTATGAGAAACGAAGTATTTTGTCCCATTCTGCACTAGAGAATTCCTAAAGGACACCAAGGAATCAGGTACATGTGGGGACTAGCACAAAGACAGCACATCCTAGACTAAAGTTAAAAAGATTATGTTTGACAAAGGGCTGAGAAGTTCACCTCCGAGGATTCCAGTTTGTTTCCAGAAGCAATTCCAAACCAGGCTAGCAGAGGTTATTAGAATTTCTAAAAGGACAAAATTTTACCTTTGGTTTCTTCTGGGGGAATGGTCCACATTACAATCACCTGGAGAAACTTTATGTAAAGCTCAGTGCCAAGTCACACCCCATTCCAATTAAATTAGAACGCCTGGAGAGAGAAGCAAGGAATTTGGTTTGTGGTTGTTGTCCTTGTTGTTTTAAATCCTAGCTTATTCCTTGATGGGTAAAAGGACTGGAGGAGTGCTGACCACATCTCAAACTTCCTCATGAAGCAACAATGACAGCTGCAGTTAGAGTGTCTAAATTCAAAGTCATAAGTCAGCTCATCAGGTGTCACACAGAATTCCTGCCACTTATGCTTTCCAATAATGACCTTGAAAGGAAAGGGGTGGGGCTGGGGATTTAGCTCAGCAGCACAGCGCCTGCCAGGCAAGCGCAAAATCGTGAGTTCAATTCCCGGTACCGGAAAAAAAAAAAAAAAAAGAAAGGAAAGGGGTGAGTGGGATAGAAACCAGGTGGCCTTCGCCAGAACCCAAGTCATTACTGCCATGGTAGACAGGGCTCCATTTTTACTAGGCACACATGAAGGTGGAATGAAGAGAAAGCAATTGCCATTGGTATCACTTTAATCCCCACCATCAATATGAATACACTGTTCTGTTCTCAGAGAATATAATCTCATACCGGAAGAAAGAAAAGCAAGAGGGAGACATGTTTGAATTCTTTGGCAAGTAAGGTAGTTTACTTACATACTTTTACTGATTAGAAAGAGAAATGATTCTAAGCCTCAATTGTTAGGGGGAAAAAAGAAAAAGGAGGGTTCGATATCTCTTTTTTCTGTGTAATGTTTAAAGATGCAAATAACAGAAGAACTTGCACTTTAGGAACCCCAGGGGCTGGGGATTTAGCTCGGCAGCACAGCGCCTGCCTGGCAAGTGCAAGGTTGTGAGTTCGATTCCCAGTACTGGAAAAAAAAAACCCAAACCCCACCACCGCAGCCCAGTTTTCTTTGTTTCAAGTACTGGTCCAACCCATGGAAGGCAACCTAGGTCAAAATCAAAGGCTGTGCATGTGCAAGGCCCTGGGTTCTCGGAAACACACACGCACAAACACACAGAGACAAAACAAACAAGAAGAAGTCCTGGGTTCCATCTCTAACACCACTAAAAAAAATTGAGGATTTAAATATTTTGTCAGTGAGGAAAAATGCTCAAGTCACTAATCATTAAGGAAATGCAAATTAAAGCTGTTATGAAATATCACTTTACACCCAGAAGACTATTATCAAAAATAAACCAAACAAAATCCAACATCACTTATAATAAAAACTCAGAAGAAAATAATTATAGCAGACCTTATCTTAATCTTATTAAAGATTTATAACAAATCTCTTGCAAACGTGATTATGAATTAGGGGAAAACTGAAACCTTTCCCGGAACAAGACAAGGATGTCCACTATCACCAATCCTGTTCAATATAGTACTCAAATACATTAGTCAAAGCAATCAAGCAAGAGAGAGAGAGAAAGGGAATACATATAGAAAAGGAAGGAGTAAAATTATCATTTGCAGATGACATGCTTCTTTACACAGAACTTCCCCTAAAAGACAGGATTAACAAACTAACAAATGTAGCGAGGCAACAGGGTACAAAATCAACACGCAAACATCAATAGTATTGCTATACACCAGTAATGAACCCACCAAGAAAGAAATTAGGAAAACAATACCATTCACCATGACATCAAGAATAGCTACTTAGAATTAACCAGACCAAGGAAATAAAAATGTTCTATAAAATATCTGTTCTCACAGAACAAAAGGCAATCCTAAAATTTATATGGAGCCTGAAGACACAGAGTAGCAAAAGCCATCCTAAATAACAAGAGCAAAGCAACAGGCACCACAATCCCAGATTTCAAGTTACATTACAAAGCTAGAGTAATAAAAATAGTATGGTACAGGCACAAAAACAGACATGTGGATCAGTGGAACAAAATAGAGGATGCAGCACTCTGATCTTTGAAAAAAGGGGTCAAAAGCATTCATGGGCAGAAAGAAAGCCTGTTTATTAAATGGTGCTGGAAAAAAAACTAGCTATCCACATGCAGACTATTGAATCTACACAATTATCCCTCTTTGCACCAAAATAAAATCAAAATAGATCAAACCTAAATATTAAAACAGAAACAACTGCTGGAAGAAGATAAAATAGGTAAACTGTTGAAGATACACCCACAGGTAAGGACTTTATTTTAAAAACCCAATTGCACAAGAAATAACATCAACAAATAGGATTACATCCAATTAAAAAGCTCCTGAACACACAACAAAGGAAGAGTTAAGGGACAACCTAGAGAACGGGGAAAAATTTTTTGCAACATATCCCTCAGACAGGGGATTAGTATGTAGAATATATATAGAACTCAAAAAATCAGACCCCAAAAAATAAAATATCCTTTCAAAAAACAGACAACTGAAATAGATACTTCTTAGAAGAAGAAATACAAATGGCCAGTAAATACATGAAAAAAACGTTCATCTCTGTAATACCACCACTTGGGAGGCTAAGACAGGAGGAGCACCATAAGTTCAAGGCCAGCCTGGGTTACACAGTGAGTTCAAGGTCAACCTAAACTACATAGCAAGACCCTGTCTCTATTAAAGAAAAAAAAGTTCATCTCTGGTAATTAGAGAAATGCTAATTAAAACAACACTGAGTTTCCATCTTACTCCAGAAACAATGGCTACCATCAAGATATGAACCAATAATAAGGGCTGGCAAGGCAAGGGAAGGTGGGGTTCTATACTGTTGATGGTAATGTAACCTAGCACAACCTCTATAGAAATCAGTATGGAGATTCTTCAAAAACTAAAATTAGAAATTCCATTTGACCAGCTACTCCCCTTCTATGTATCTTCCTGAAAGAGTTTAAAGACATATTATGGTAATATATACATATCTATGTTTATAGCAGCACAACTCATAACAGCTGAATCTTGGAAGCTATCTAAAGGTCCATCAATAGATTAATGGATAAAGAAAATGTGGCATTAATTCACAGTGGAGTACTACTCTGCTATAAAGAAGGATAAACTTGAGTCATCTGAAGGAAAATGGATGCACCTTCAGACGATGCTGATAAATTAAATACATCAGACATATAAGTTCAAATATCGCATAGCTTCTTTTATGAGAAACCCAAGGAATAAATAATTTAAAGAGCAAAATAGAAGACAAACAATAGGAAACAGGGAGATAGATCTTTGGCAAATGAGAATGTGCTACATACAAGTACAAACTCCTCAGAATAAATATGATCAGTATACACTGCAAACGTGTTTGTTTTGGTTTTTGGGGGGTTGTCTTTTTGAGACAGGGTCTCGCTATGTAGTTCAGGCTGGCCTTGAGCTCACTTTGTAGCCCAGGCTGGCCTTGAACTCCAATGATCCTCCCACCTCAGTATCCCAAGTGCTGGGATTACAGGTGTGCACCACCACGCCCAGCTACTGCAAACATGTTCTAGTAAAATAAAATTTTTAAATGTTGGCAAGAAACAGAAAAATTTAAAATTCTTCTGCACTTCTGGTGAAAAGGTAAAATTATGCAGCAACTGTGAAAAACAATATGGCAGTCCCTCAAAAACTCAGAGTTAGGGATAGGGGTGTAGCCCAGAAAAATCAGTGCTTAGCACACATAAAACTTTGGCTTCAATCCCCAATACAAACATACAAACAAATAAGCCAAAAAATCTTAAACACAGAATTACAATATAATCCAGAATTCCACTTCTGAGTATATACACAAAAGAACTGAGAGGAAAAAAAAAGATGGAAAGCAGAGACTAAAGAAGTATTTGTACATCGGTGCACACTCCAGCATTACTTACAGTAGTTAAAAAGGTGGCGACAACCCAAGTGTCCATCAACAGATCAGAGAATAAATGAAATGTGGCATGATTGCATATTCCTGTACGTAGCTGCTCGGAAGGCTAAGGCACAAGGATAAAAAGCTAGAGACCAGTCTGGGCAATTTAGCAAAAACCTGTCTCAAAACAAAAAAAAGGGGGGGCTGAGGATATAGTTCAGTAGCAGAGCATCCTTTAGCAAAGCACCTCTGGGTCTGGTCTCCACCACCACCAAAAAAAACCCACACAAACAAAAAACGCATTTTGGGCCAGACATGGTGGCACACACCTGTAATCCCAGTGCTCAGGAGGCTGAAGCAATAGGAATGTAAGTTCAGGGCTGGGGATTTAGCTCAGCGGCAAAAGCGCCTGCCTGGCAAGCGCAAGGTCGTGGGTTCGGTTCCCGGTACCGGAGAAAAACCAAAAAAAAAAAAAAAAGGAATATAAGTTCAAGCCCAGCTTGGGCAACTCAAGGATACCCTGTCTCAAATTTTTAAAAACTTTAAAAGGGGGAGGGGGCTGGAAACACAGATTGGTGTGAAAGCCCTGGGATCAATCCCTGGTACTACAAATAATAATAATAACAACAACAGCAGCAGCAGCAGCAACGTTCTCATTCTATCCCATCTCTACCAAGGTATACTTGTTATGGTTTGTGTCTAGGTGGCCCCCAAGCCTCGCGCAGTCATAGAGCTTTTGCAGAGGTGGCTGGACATGGAGTGCGTGATGCTAGGATTAAGGTTGTGTGTGGTTACTAAATCAGTCCACTGACTGGTTTAGCATCACCCTAATCCTGGTAGTCTGGAGAAGATAAAAGGGACACAAACACAGTTAACCCCCCTTGTTTCTTTTGCTATCTTCCACAGCTATGAACTGTTGCCCCTCTGCAATGTGCCACCCTCCCTTGGAACCAATCAATTACGAACTGGGCTAACTAAACCTTTCCCCCTTTAACTTTGGGTGTTGGCTATTTTGTCTTAGCAATGACAGAAAAGTAACTAAGACAATACTCTTATCATTTTCCATATGAAATTATAAAATCTTTAATGTTTTTCCTTGATACTGAGGTTTGAACCCAGGGCACTGTACCTTCTAGGCAATGTTCTACCACTGAGGCAGCCCCTAGCCTGCTCAAAATCTTAAGAAGCAAATTATTTTATTTCCCTAAGGCCTGATGTCCTCACTTTTAGAATGGGGACAGCAACACTATCTAAAACTGATGAAGATTAAGTGATACCTC